TTCATTTGCCGAGTACCCTTCCAGAAATAAACACTGAGGGGTGCATATTTGATATTCACCATAAAAATCAACATCCAGAGCACAAGCCAACAGCTACATTCACCTCTCCAAGCATCTTAATGCTTTTGTAGCTAAGCAAGAGAGTGTTCAACACTCGTTCACTTCAGTAAAATGCATAAAAACACTGTATGTTAATATTGTATTCTTTTTATTAGCTTTTCTTTTTTAGTATTATTCTATTTGCAGCACTACTGTAATTATAAATATCTACAAGCACCTACAAAATGAAGAAACTGTATCCTTCTGTTGTCAAAGAACACAGCTTTTGTCTTGAGCCATATATGGCCCAACAAACCCACATTCCCTGCAGCCATCAGCTCACGTCCCTACAGAGCAGCCTGTGCTCCTGCCCCACACCCAGAGGCACCAGTGGCTCACAGCTGGCAGGACTGGTGCACAGCCCAGCATTTCCTGCCCCATTAGTCACCAGTTTGGTCCTACAGACCCAGGTCTGACACTGTCTGGGTTCTCCAAGCTCAGGATGTCCCTGCCAGGGTGGCAGAGCCGACCCCACTCTGCTGCTGATTCCCACAGCTGCTCCTGCTACTTCACACATGTCAAATACTGACAATTGTCTCCTGGCAGGAGCCCTAAAATTTAATCTCCTATTTCACTGTATAAACCACTGAAATGAATATACCACAGAACCCAACAATTCCTGTCTGAGGGAAGCAGCAGCCACAAAGCCGTGCCAACGGTGACACACCACAGAGACCCAGGCAGTGGAAGCAGCACAGCAATAAATTGCCTATTAACCCACTGAACTAAATTGTATTTCAAGAAAATGCATAGTGCTGGGCAGTCCAGAAAACCTCAAGTGAGAATGCACTTCATCCCTCAGAGATGCATTATCAAAGAGGGTTTGCAAATTTGTGTGGGCACGGCATTAACACCTTATTAAAGGTGCCTTGAAGCCATGAATATTAAAACTCACAAACATCTAAAAACCCCCAGAGCTCTCAGCAGGACTCTAAGTGACAATTTTTCAGCTGCAGCCAAGAGTCAGAATGTTTTCCCTAAACTGGATCTTAAATACAGTATGTTCTTTAGATTTATAGCTGCAGACATGTAAGCACACACTTATTTGAGTACACACACTGCTCCATCCACACTGTTCCTCATGTCACCTTTCACCAACACAGATACAGAAGGTACGTGGAAGAATTGCCCTCACTGCACATCAAACCAAAAATTCTGAATGAACAATCTTCTATTTTTTCTGCCTCTTCTCCCCATCAGATCAAAAAAACCCTCCCTCCACTCACTCTAGGATTCCTACTGTCAGCAGTTATTTCAGGTACCCATGAAGCTTCTACACAATTTGCCATTTCCTTGCTCTTTTCCTTGGTTCTTCCAGTCTCATCTGTTTATCTGACTTCACTTTACAGCTGCCTGGTACACCAATATGGGATGTTCTCCCCACTGCATTTTCATTTTACACATTTCCCTGGATTTTTTCTCCTTGCCTGCTGTGCATTCCAGAAGAGCGCTCTGACTTCAAAAGACAATTCTCCTTGAAGTTCTGCAGGCTCAGGTGCTCGAGGACAAAAAACCTCCCCAGCTGATTGTGCTCAGTAATTGTAATGGTGCAGCAACAGCCAAAAATAACACAAATCAGGAAACTTCCATTGGAAGTTCAATACCACTGTGAGATACAAGGACACATCTCATTCTTATAGAAACAACAGTTCCTGCTTCCTACGCCTGTCTGAAAGTAGATTTTATTTCCTGTCACCTGCTATTGTGAATGACCAGGCCACCTCTGATCTATCCCTGGCATGGAAGATCAAACAGCAGCTACAGTATCAAGCCCACAATTGCTGAGCAAGATGAAGCACCATTTTAAGAGAAATTCAGTGTTCAGCTGTTGAATGACAGTATCCCCCACATCTTTCAGGAAGTTAACATGAGGAATACTTACCTTTGAAAATATATGCCTTGTTGTAGGCTCTTTAGTATCAGTTTGGGGCCAGTTGATTTTAGTGACTGATAGAATTAAAGAAAATGTACTTTAAGTGCTCTTAGACTACAGTCAAAATACCACAATACCACTTCCAGGATGAAGGATTCCTAATTATTACACTCTGATTTTTTTCCATTGCTACCCTAAAACCAGAGTTTGTCCATATGCTATGATCTTCAGGCTCTGTTGCAGCTTTCTCCCTTCAAATCACCAGTGCTTCTTTGCCCCTCGCTGTTTCAATCCTTACTCATGCCAGCTGTGTCCATGCTGATGTGTGACTCTTTTCCAAAGCCTCAGCATGTTCCTCAGCAGTGTCCCTCAGTTAAACAGCCTTACTGCAACTGATGACATGAGCTGTGTCACAGGGGTTTGACATGCAGAGTATTCTGAGTATTAGCCCACAAGACACAAACACACTGAGTTTTTGTATGTTTTTACAATTTGCTGTTTCATGAGGGACAGTATTAACAGGATTAGTAAATAACTGCAGCTCTTTAGACCACAAAAGCTGCTTTTCAAAAAGACACAGATTAGCTACTTTCATTGCTATCACAGTGAAAGACTTTGTGAGCAAAAACACAAAAAACCATCCAAAGTCATTTCCAAATTAGGTATTTTCATCTCTTAAAATATAGCCCTAACTTTTATTTCTGTCAGAAGCTCCCCTCCCCAACCAACAGCCTTGGCTGGATGAGGATGGTGAAGTAAACAATCCATCTTCCATCCAAACACACCCTCTCATCCAAGTCAGGAAACTTTGAGGAAACTTCCTCAGCACAAGAGGAAAAACTCAAAGTGCCAAAGATTATGGGAAAGATACTTCAGGAGAGCAAAGCCTACAATGAGTACATATGTAAAATTGGATTGTTTTAAGTTACTTTCTCATTTCAGACCTCGCCTGAGTAAATGTTTTGGTTTTTAATACATTTTTAATTGTTACAAGTTTCAGATCCTTCTAGTAAAATGCTTATTAGCACTACAAAGAAAAATACAGGCTTATCAATACTGTGAGAACATCAAAGACTCAAATAAAACTGATAAGCAGATCTGGCCTGCCTTATCTGTAACCAGCATCTTCCACTGTTTATTAACCCTCTACAAGGGCAGAACAATGGAATGCTGTAATCAGGCAACATCCCTCACTGAGGTTTGAGAGCTGACACGAATATCAATCGTGCCTCATGTTCACTGCTGGAGTGGCATTTCCTGCAACTCTGTTTAGACTGCTACAGCACTGAGGCCCCCTTGTCTGGCAGAATGACAAAGATGCCAACCTAAACAGATACTTAATAAGATCCTAATATTTAAATAGGATCATTCTTTATTTACTAATGTAGTGAAGAATTGCATTTACACCTAATAGTGTGCAAGCAGCCTGTCTCATTGCCATCAGCAGGATTACTATCATTAACAAAGCAACTCAACCAGCAAAACACTTAATTTTCAGAGTTACGTTTTGCCTCTGCCAGAATTACAATTTTCAAGTAACATTCTTTACCAAAAGGATATTTTCCAAACAAAAAACATCCATGATTGTCACAACATTTCAGCTAATGCATTAGAAATTTTAATTTCATGTTGTCGTTATGGATTTCTCAGTTTCAGAGTCGCAAACGGATTCAAAATTATGAATTGTTCTGGGCCTGTAAAAATATTATTGTTCAGCATTTTGCTATCTATTTACTGCAAACAGCAGCATGTCTGTCATTTATGGGGGTTTTGTATATACATAGGTGTCCTTTAAGCACGAAAAAACCTCAAAACCAGACCCAAGACTTGCAAAGAAAATAAATCAGCTGCCAAACAACATTTGGTTTCATGGCATCATCCGTATCCATGTCTAAAAGTGTTTTTTCTGACTCAGTCATAAGACTGATGCTATGCTTGAAGAAATTCAGTCACAAGGCATTGAGAAACTCCAATATAAACACAGGCAAAGAAAACACTCAAAACGAATTTTCTCTGGGAACAATGTTGCCGAGCTGTCAGAGGAGGAGGTTTGCCATGAGAGTAAACAGAGACTGCAATTGCCGCAGCTCAGTCTCCTTCCAGGAGATTTTGTCCTCCACATCCCCTCCCATCCCACCCTGCAGCAGCTGCTCATCACCAGCCCTCGGTGCAGAGGAGCCCTTAATGTGCCGCCAAGGGGCAGTTTAGCAGATGGCAGAGTGACATACAACCACAGCCATTAATTAAACTCCTCGCTAGTCCCACTACGTGCTGCTGGAAGAACTTCCATGGAGAAGGCACATTTCGGATAAACAGTTGTAAACAGCTGGCTGCACAGCCTGAGCAGGGGGGCTCAGCTCAGCCCCAGGCTGTTTTAGGGTCCTGCCCTCCCTGCTCAAAGGAGCTGTACAGGAAACACAAGTCATTGTCTTTCACTACCAGCCCCATTTATGCTGCACCACAGAAGCTGTGGGTAAGTGGCTGTAAAAGGATGCAGAGGAGAAGATCTGGCTTAAACTGCTTCCCCTAAACAAGCAGGGGCTCGGGAAGCAGATGAAGGACACCTAATCATCAGGAAAATAACAAAAAACCCCAGCAGTATAAAATACTCAGCTAATTATGGCAAAGAGAGGTTAATTTTTTGAAATTTTGTTATAACAAAATAAGGTATGTGTTAGGCAAGTCTATTTCTTTAAGAGGCATAGAGCTCTGGGCTCTCCAGGTGCACTGAAACATCCAGACTGAACATCAGAACAGATCTGCACTCCACAGATATGACAGTACTTTCTTACCCGTTTTACTCCAAGTGTAAAGACAACTAGAACCCAGATAACCTAGAGCCAAAAGTACAGGTAAGACCTGGAATCAAACGTAAAGGTAACACCGGGAATCATGTAAAGCTAAGACCTGGAATTGTGTCAAGGCAACACCGGGAATCGTGTCTCTCTGGAGAAACCCACAGATCAGGAGTTCAGGGTGAGTGTCTGGTGAGCCAATTGTTCTGCCAGCCCCAGTAACAGGCACTCACCTCCAGCTTCTTCTCCTTCTCGGTGAGCACATCCTTCTGGTTCTGGGTGTACTCGATGAGCATGCGCGCCAGCTGGCGCCGGTCCTCCAGCTCGGCCGCCAGCCGCCCGTTGTACTCGGCCAGCAGCAGACACGCCTCGTCCACCGTCTTGGACAGCCGCTCCGCAGCCTCTTTGTCTGCGTGCAAAAGCGTTGGGTGATTTAGAGGACAAAGTTTAGAACTTGCAGTTGTTGACAGAAGTGCTGCGATTCATGAGCCGCGGGCACAGTAACATCTTGTTCGTAAATATACTTCTGGCTTGGCAGGAAAATAAGGGCTGTTATCACGGGGATGTACAGGAAATAGGGCATACACCCTTTGTGGGCTGTATTTTAGACACTACGTAACTGACTGCATTTAATCCCCGCAGAGGTGTCATGAAAGCAGGGAGAGAAATCTATGAATAGTAAGCCCCTATGAACAGGTTAATTAAAATGTTAGAAGTACCTTCAGGTAAACAAATCAGGTGGTTTCTACATTTAAACACGGTGTGCACTTGTTAATTCCTCTTATATATGAGTAATTTCAAATGTATTGACACAAATCTAAGAATTGCACACGGTCCAGTTGGACACTGTAAGAATATATTATGAATGGCCAAATAAGTGATAATTCATAATGAGTTCTAAATTAAAACTACCTCCAGGAACAAGAGTCAAATCAGTTCAACCTCTAAATGCTTCTATTAAAATTACTTTTCAAATGCAATTGCAGAAGTTAATTTAAACAAAGACTGACAGATTAACAGGAGTAGCAATTTGCCTTTTCCATAGCAATCAAGGAGTATGTGTGTACTCAGCAGCCTGGTAGAACTCGAAAATATATCAATCAAGGACTACGTGTGTACTCAGCACACTCTGATCAAACTTCAAGATATCTTAACAGCTAAGCTGTTTAAGAGCAAACACATCCACATGAGACCTCTGTCCCAATTTCCCTTATATTCTTGCAAAATACTGATGATGCTCTCAAAGTACAAAAGCCTCAGTCCAAGCCAAAAAAAGGAAGCAGCTATGTAAGTTTAATCTTAAGTGTTACTTCACAGGATTGCTATCTGTTAATTACCCTAGAACTACAAGGCAAGGACACAAAAGAAGGAATTGACTCCACCATACATTGTGATTATTAAAAAAAAAAAACCCACACTCTGATTTCTAAGTTATTCTTTGGACCCATGTTCATTTATCTTCCAGTCTCATACCTGTAATTTTCTCCAGTAATGAAACATCTTGAACTTCCTGAGGCAGAGAAGCAATTTTTTGCCGCACTGTTGCATCTCCTGATGCTGCATTTTCCAGATCTTGTAGGGCTTTGATCAAATCCTCGGTCTACAAGTGAGCCAAGAGTAAAGCCAGGTAACCTTAACCACATCCACTTCCCAGGGATGTGGTCACTGCAGAGGAACTCACCCACCTCTGAAAGGCACCATTTAGGGTGAAAGGGCAATATTTTCTTTAAGTAATTTTTTAACCTAACACAAGGAGTATTCATTGAGTTTACACTGTCCCAGTGTGTAGCTCCTCCTGCATAATTACAGCAGGGCCATCCTTTTCAAAGCTCCACAGTGGGAAACTTCTCAGTCCAATTAAGACAAGTGATCGTTTAAGACACAGCTGAGAAGGACATGACCACACCAGTCTGTGTGCTGCCTCAAGCTGGGGCTGAATCTACCACCCAAGCATCCCTGACAGTCTCTCTGCCTCCCTGGAGTGTACAGGCACCTTTTTGTTCTGTTCTAAAGCTGCATTCTGACAGGGCAAAAACACCCAACACCAAATTTCCATTAGCCCAAACAAAACTATTCCATCAAAACTAAATTTCCATCATGACACGGTTTAGAATTCTGTAACTTGCAACTGACTATAAACTCCAGCGATGACAGAAGCTCCTCCTACAAACCAAACTTTGTAATCTCCTGATTTTGCAAAGCCATGGCTGTTCTCACCCAGCTCCCTGCAAGCACACAGCTTTCTGCAACTCAGCTGGGCTCCTCGGTGTGTCCTCAGCTCATCTCTCAGCTGGCTTTAGTGCACTGAGGAAAGATGTGTCAGTTTGAATTAATTCACTCAAAATGCATCCAGTCTTTAAAAGGACATGAATGAGGAGAGCTCTAGGAGGACCATCCCTGACACGTTGTATTTCCTCCATGCTCAAAAAAAGTTAAACAGAGAAACTCCCTGAACAGGAAGAACAAAGTGTTGCTGTTTTAAAAATTCCATAGGGGAGGTTTTTGAAACAGAACACCAGGATTATAAACACAAGCACTGATTTTTAAACTATGTTCAATATAATGAAAGCTAATGAAAACACTAACAAATTTTAAATAAATATTTTCTTAATCTGAAAAACAAAGAGGTCCATTACCTAATATTTACTACTTCCTTGCAAACTGCAAATGATTTCCAACAGTGACAATGTTTATAATCAAGAGAAACCATAAGCTGCAAGGCATCTGGAGGTAAAAACAACAACAAAATTTTCACTTATTTCCTTGACAACTGTTATTTATTTTTATTTTTCAATGTTTACAGTTTACCAGATGGATGGTGTAATGTTTTATCCCCTTCAAATAGGCTCTGGGTTAACATATGTTCATTCTGTAGCCTCAAATGGCCGCAATGATTTTCTATTTCATTCCAAATATTGCCACACCAGCAACACGGAGCCTCTAAAGTCTTCAGTGCTGGTTTTCCTACCAGCTCCATACAAATACAACAAATGTTATGCTTTTAAATAACTTTCACAGAGATATGGCCTATAAAAGAAAAACGTGTATTAACTGTTTGCAGCTTTAGGTTTTAGAAGCTACACATTGATTTTAAGAAGAATTTAAATATGGCCTGTTCTTCTAGCAGTCCTTTGAGATTCTTTCCTGGCAGAACTATTCAGACTTTGGGTTAGACTACCTGGAATTGCTCAGAAGTGACACACTATTGCAGTGGGAAAAGGAATCTGTTGCATTTCTCATGGACTTCTCAACCCCAAACTGCATCTCACCACTAAACCCATTTCACTTGTTGTCAGCTCCACCTTGTGGCTGTGACACAGGGGAGGTGGCTGTGACACTGGGGAGGTGGCCCTATGGCTTCCAGAGCTCCTCCCAGGCTCAACCCATTCCACATACCAGCAGCGGCCCAGCACTGGGGTCTTGGGGTGAGTAGCTCCCAGGGTAATCATCATCTTCCTCCTCTTGTATTTGCTGGAAAGTCCGCTTTAAAGATTTCTTCTCCTCTGCAACTGAAGACACAGAAACAACTCATTTGGATACCAAATCTGCCCACCTTAACTATTTCTACTTCAAAGAACTACACCAGATGGATGCTCTGATGATTAATCCCTCTAGGGGATGACCACAGCTGGACTTTAATGCTGGCATCATATTCCAAACACTCAAATGCAAAACAGTAATAAAAGATTGATTTTTCCCCCCATGTACCTCTGCACGTGCCAGCCTGAGGATGCACGAGCAGTGTGCACTTCATATGTGTTTGTGCCTCTCACAATGAAAGCAGGAAAGACAAATAAATGTGCTATTTTCCAATAAATCAGAGATTTCAACCCTCAGATGCTCTGGCTAACGCTGAGTGTACAGATGAGGATTTCTACCAGTAGAAATGAAGCACTGATGTGAAGGCACACAAGGACAGAAGAATTTCAAGTTATCTATCTGCATGAATTATATGCTCCCTGTGGTCCCACAATCAACACAGTAATTGTTGGTTATTCGACCTTCCACTCTTTCATCAAAATAAGAGTTTCAGGACAGTTCTGTGAAACTACAACTCCAAGATGTGACAGCAGCAACACCAATGGGCAAAGCATGAACCAATCTCCAAGCAGGTAACCTGCAACACTTCAGAAACAGGGATGTCATAAAGCAAGACAGCATTGCTTAAATGAACCTCAGCATGGCAAACATTAGCTTGAAAGGGAAGAGACAGTTTATTTGAATGAGTCAGAAGTCTTAATGAAACCTTTGATCCAGCCACAGAACCTTCAAAAGAAGGTACATCATTTTTCAGACTTGGCACCAAAGATAATAAGATATGGGGTAATTTGTAAGAAATCTTTGGACAGTCTTAAGAACATCTATTCAATGGAATCAAGACTTGCCAAGATAATCTGTATATACTTTGATTCACAGGAAAAACTAAGGTCACTCAATTTAAAACAAAACCAGATTGTCCCATTCTAATGGGGAACCAAACAGAAAGGTCTATCCTTAAATGCAGTTTTGCCTGCCTTGTCAGGTGGGACATATGAATAAACTTCATTCTAATGGAGAGAAAACAGAGGAGCTGTTACACCCTGCTCACTGGGGAAAGAGCTGAACAACCTTCCAAGGCAGACACAAACATGTCTGTCAGAGGACAGACTCACTCAATGCAGCACACAAAAGGTACCCTAAACCAAAGGGATTGTTGATGCTTATAGAACAAAGCTACCTAGGCTAGAAAAAGGACAGCCAATTTCTGCATGTATCCAACTGATGTACGAGTGCTTGACAATCTGACTGACAAGCCAGTGATGCACCAGATCAACAAGGAAAACAGCTGCTGCCCACTGAGGTCTGTGAGAAACATGAGTTGGGTTTTACAGGAGATGAGCAGATGAGAGAGTGGGCAAAGAGAGCATTTAAAATTACCCAGCCCAACACAAGAGGTCATCAGTATTTATCGCTTGTATGTACTTATCATAAAATAATTAACCAACAGAGGATAAACATGAGCCAAGAACAGAAGAATGCATGACCACAGTGATCACACAAGTGAAATTAAATTGAGAGCTGGGATTCAAATTGCTGAAGAGTTATTCCTGCTGTGTTGCCAACTGGTCTACCACAAGACACAGCATTACACTTGCTCATCACTCTGACACAGAGGATTCAGAATTCATTGAATATTCCATCTGAACAAGGCCACGTGAGTCTGACTGGAACCACTCTGAAATCAGTGATGCTGAGCACCTGCAAACCTAAGCAAAAGTCACTGGAGAATTCTAGAAACTCTATCTCAATTTCATCAAAATAGAAAAAAACCCCTTTGCTTATTTGCAAACCCAAGAGCATATGGAGCAAAAGGATCCCTGAAAGAGAACAGAAGCACATACACCCTGCCTGGGTAACCTACAAAATCTGCCAGCCAGGAGTAATTTAACCATCACAGTCTGCACTAGCAGAAAAGCGTGTCAAATCCAGCCAGAGAAGGGGAAAACAAGCACTGAGAACATCCAGAACTGATCAGAATGTAACACATATCCAAAACAATCAAGATATCCTTGTAGAATACAGACAGCTTCTTCCAGGAAAGTCAAGAACCCACCTTAACATGGACATAAAGAAGCCAGAGAAACCCCAATGAAGTCAGCTGTGCTGCTTTGCTGTGCTCTTCACAGAAATTGAACTAGTCCCAAAAAGCCCCCAAAGGGCAAAGCACTCTCCATTTCTCCAAAACAACAGACAACTGCTCTCCTAACAGCTGTGCACTGACACTCCAGGCTGTTGCAGAGTCCACAAACACCAGCAAAGGCATTTCTGCACCAACTTTTACGCTACAAACCATCTCAGCTGGCTTGAGGAAGGTTACAGTGTCCAAGGCCTTGCTGACAACTATGAGCTTTCCTGTCAGCTGGACACCTGAGGGATCTTCCCTTCAGGGGCTCACTTTTTTGTTCTCAGCCTGCTCAGAGGTAAACAGGCTTCTGATGAGTCAGCACCCCCTCCAACCATTCCAAACCCTTCTCTCTTTGGGGGTGCATTACTTGTGGTTGCTGAAGCTCTCATTACAATATATATATTTTTGGCAGCCTCTCCTAGGGTAAGCCCAACTGGAGCTGAGCTGCTCCAAAACCATACCTAGCCCTGTGTCCATGTGCTTTCATTTCAGCTACCCTCAGAAGCCTTCCTGCCTGCTCTCCTCTCTGTTCTTCTCCATATTTTAATACAAGTCTGACTTTCTGTGCTGGAATTTGCAACATAAACACAATGAAAACAGTTGGGGAGGATCTCAGTTCTGTGTTAAGAGTGACACACTCCTACATCACAGCACATTCAAGGACCTTCTTCAACTGCTTGTTACAAAGACAACAAAAAGAAAACACATCAGCTATATCGGTTGTATTGCCTGAAGGGTTTCACATCAAACCTTTAAGACCTACTTTTTCCAGTCTTTGGGAGAAACAGGTGATTTTTCTTTTCCTGATTGCTTGTGAAAAGAAACATTCTAATAAAAATGAGATTAATGAGAAAGCAAATGCATGCTTAATGAATACATTTAGAGATAAAACAATGTATCAACATTCAAAAGCTCATTTCTATGCATATGCATATCTCCTTAAGGAACCCGAAAGACTAAAATCTGGTAGTCAGCTGCAGCACTGAGCAGTCAAACCAGGGAATACAATGCTTAGAAAGGGCTGGTTGTCTCACCCCTCTGTCTCTCTGAAGGGAAATCAGCTCTGCTCCACAGCAGAAACTCAGCATGTGCAGACAACTGAATTGCTGTGCATTACCCAAGGCCCTGCTACTCACAAAACAAGAAATAAACTGTACCACTGAAACACTGACTGATGAGTATTAAAGATGTATTTCCTCACTGATGCAGGACTCCATTGCATTTTGGCAAGTCACACAATTCTAAGTGCTGCTCTCAAGACAAACAGACTTCTCAGTCTCAGAGAAGCACCCACCAGCCCAGGAATTTAAGACATTGCAGTATGAAAAATAACAGAACTACCTGCACTGACCTGTTGCCATATCTCAGCCTGAAGAAAAGAATAGTTGTTATCAAGACATTGCAGTATGAAAAATAACAGAACTACCTGCACTGACCTGTTGCCATACCTCAGCCTGAAGAAAAGTTGTTATCACATGATAACAACCAGGACCAGGTGTTATCAACAGCACCAGCTGCCCTTAAGGAGCTCCAACATTTTAAGAGCACAGCTTGCACCAATCTACAGACACTAACATTGCCTGTTTCTCAGCTGTGTCTACCTTGGGAGTCCACAAACCCAGCAAGCCAGAATGGCTTTGGAGGAGCACTGGACTATGTTTTTCCACATTTACAACAATTGTTCTGTCTGCAAACCAGGACACCTTAATCTCCATCTTGCTTATGTTCACCTGTTTGAAAATGGAATACAGTAATCACAAAAAAAAGCCTTCTGCAACTCACCAGAAACTCAAACACCAATTTATGTCAGAAATCCAGAAAGCCCCCAGGTGAAACTAGCTCTTACCATCAAAAAGCTAATTTGCACACACACCAGTCAAAGCAAGGAAAAAACCCACAGGATCACTCTGAATCTTTCAAATTTCTTTTTGACCATTAATTGACAAGGCAGTAATTCACACTCATGCAAAGGCCTGAACCTTCCTTCAAATAAAAGATATTAATGTAGTATCTCTAATTACCCAGGCAAAAATTAAGTTTCTTGCCAAGTGAAGCTGTGCACACAGCAGTTCTTCAAGGGCTTGTATTCCTCCACTCTGCTTCCCACAGACAAAGATCTGTTACTCTTAGGAAGTTTAATTTTGTACAAATGTTTTTAAGTTGAAAGACAACAGTAGCAGAAGTGGTTGATACCATCAGCCAAAGGGAAAGGACACTAAGGGACAGCTGGTTGCCAAATGACTAGGGAATAACACATGGTATCAAGTACCAATGCCTTTACATTCAAAGTTAAACACTTGTAAAACACCTACCCAGGTACACTAAATTAAAGTATCAAATCCTCAGTTAACCAGGTCAGGGTTATCAGGAGTGTAAATTCTGGCCTTTGATAACACACAGGTGCCTCATTCACTGCACCCAGACAAGAGGAACCCCAACATGAGCCAGTTCATGCAGAGACTGTTCACCTTCACCCCCAGAGCACAGACTCCTGTCTCTCTACAGATGGGATAGCCCCTTTGGTCAGGGCAGTTGGCTCACAACATTTGGGGTAAAAAGTGCAAAAGTCATCTTCCAAAAGGTGTAACTCAATCAGGGGCAGGTGGAAGGGCACTGGTGTGAGCTGCTAGAGCACCCATCCAGCAGTTCTGCCCAAAGCAGTGTGTGAAAAAGCACAAAGCTACAGCCAGAGATGTCTTCACATACAGATCTCATTTATGTTCATATTTTCATATTAATTCTACATTAAATACCAACTCAATCAGACCTTGTTTTCAGCACCTAAGAATGGCACAAGAGCCTTTTACTAATGACCAAGCCAACTCTCTCACATCATCAGAACTCTGTGGGCAATAGAAAAAAACATATGACCAGAGCAGCAGTGTCATTCCAGCTCATTTGAAGACACTGACACTTCACAGAATGGCTTAACAAAAGGGACCTTTTTAGGCCACCTCATTCCACCCCCTCTGCCATGGGCCCCAACCCCTGCCACAAGACCAGCTTGCTCAGGGCCCCATCCAACCTGGACTTGAACACTTCCAGGAAAGGACTATCCAATTCCTTCAGCTGTAAGGTGGACAAATGTTCCCTTAACCACAACACTCTTGATTTTTAATGACCCTCACCTTCCATAGCTGAGGCATCCCACTGCTCCCCTCTTTCCACTGCAGCACTACCAGTGAAACACCTCCAAGTGCTAGAGAAGAGGCAAGATTGCCAAAGCAGTAAATCAAAGCACAGTAAACACGAGCTTATGCTCATTTTCTCACAGGTCTCAAGCAGTAATAAGGTTATACCTGTGATGTACTAATGACATTACATTATGCAAAGTTAGAGTTTTCTCCAAATGACATCAGCTGGTGTAAGAAAAAAAAGAGACCAGACAAGCTTCTGGGGCATATATTCTAGACTTCAATTATTCAAAACTCCTTTCTGCATCATAATAAAATACAGGAACTAGGGAAAATGAAACAATTATTATGAGAATGAAAGCACTAACATATTGAATAAGACCCTCTAATAACCCAGCTGAGCTGGCTCAGAGATGCAGAGTGGGACACTTGACTTGAGGTGGACACTCTGCATGACTGACTTGCTTTCACCCCAAAAGGCAGCCCTGGAGCACTGGATCTGCACAAGCAGCACCAGACATCATGCCCAGTTAAGCTCACCCAAGACAGCACACCTGCAAACCAGAGCTGAGGGTTCAATGAAAATCAGACTTCTCAACACAGTCCTAAAGAACCTCCACAACCAGCTCTGGCAACAACTCAGCTCCAAGCTCAACTCCTCACAGTAATTCCAGTGAAACATGCACCCATTTACAAACAAAACACACATGACAAGCAATATGCATTTACCTTTTGTTTGGGGGCTGTTGGAGTCCTCCATAGACAGTTTGAGCTGCTGGATGAACTCGCTGCCATACACACTCCTCTCCTGCCAGATGTTCAGCAATCGTTCCAAGGGCTTCTTGCAGCCCTCGTCTGCTTCTCTGTTCAAGGATTGGGAAATCATTACACTTCAGCTCATCAACACTCCTTATGTTTTCAGAGAGCATCTTCCAAACTGGCAGCTACACCCATTGCAATATGTGAACATTTGGAGAGAATCTTGCTCATGTTGTCTGAGACAAACTGAGCAAAACACACTTGTGGCCAATTTTCCCCTTTATTTGACCTAAAAACTGCCTGGAAGTCTCCCACCATTCCCACCTCAAAGGAAGGGCAGAAAAGTTGTGAAAGAAGAAACTTGCTATCATTCAGAATTTGCAATAAGAGTTTATAAAAAAAACCCCAAAGCTAACAAGTTTACAACTCTGAGTATTAACTTTAAACAGCTGTTTCAGCCAATAACATCCCAATTAAAAGCAGGTTGATTGGATCATTAGGCACTTAAATGCACTCAGAGCGTGCTCTGACAGTCAGACAGCCCTCCAGAACAAACAAATACCCAGAGCATTCATGTTGTTTAGCTGAGGTAACAGGATTTATTACACCATTTAGACACAATCTTAACTAAACAACACTGCATTTTTGGTAAGGTGGTGCCTGCATCACTTCTTCCCTTTTAACTATGAAATTCTTCCTTCCTCCAGCAAGGATATCACTGATCAGGTAACACACAAAGCAACTGCTCAGACCAGGAGGCTGGAGGGAGCCCAGTGACCCAAAACATCAGCTCTTTCCAAGTCTTTTGACAGTGGGGCAGAGCCATTCATTATGTGGCTTTAATAAACACACCCAACTGCTCAATTCCACTGCCCATAAGCAGATCTGCCAGATCTTTAGGGAACAATTGAAATAAAGTCCATAGGAGCTCCACAAACACGTGAAGCTGTGAAGGACTGGTTCACACACAGAGTTACCCATTTACACTAAACAGACCCCAACCACAAAGCAGTCAGGATCCAATCTCTACTACAGAGAGGGTACAAACACCCCCTAGACCTAAAAAAAACAACAAAACCCAATTGACTTAAGCTTTGAATAACAAGAATGCAGATCCCTAGAGAAGAAAGCTGAAGAAATACAGCAACATACCTGGCAACATGAGAAAATGCATCCACGAGAACAGATTCAAATTCCCTGGTAAATTCAGGGCCTTTCCTCTTACTGTTCTGGATGACATCGTTTGCTAAATATAGGAAAGTAAGTTTCCTACTTGATTTTGCTGAGAAAGGGGAAAAAAAAGAAAATAAAAAAGGAAGAAACAAAAGGAAAGTTTGGTTTTATTTCTCATTTCTTTCACCTGGAATCATTAATAGGGATTTCAAAGTTGTTTATAGCTTTGCAGTCTCAAACCAAAGTTCAAAATATTTCCATGTTACCAATAGAAATCAGGGGCTGTCAAGTCAAGTAGTTCTCATTGTCCTCACTTCTGCTCTTTTCTAACTAACTAATAAAACAAACATGAGTTTAATGCTTTTTGTGCACAGTGACACCTCAACTCTGAAAAACCAATACATTTTAAACACAATTTTAAAAAGCTGTTCTAACCCATCAGCAAATTAATAAACCAATGAGTTTATTTTTTATTAATTAACTTCAGGAAAAATACTCCACTAAAACAGCATAACTCAGAATGAGTGAAACTGTAGGAGAAAGCTGTTGTGGAGACTCAAAAATTTTCCAAAGAATGCTCCTACCATCAAACTTCTTCCATATACCATAAATTTTCCTATTTTGACACCACCAGTTTCTATATCAATATAGCCAGAATTGGGGAAATTCACTGTTCCCCTAACAAAAACAGATACACACAGAAGGCAGAAAACAAAGGTGCTCATTTCCACAACAGGGCAAAGGCAGATCTTCAAAAACTCATTAATAAACTACAAATGGCAAAAGCCAGCAGTCACGTAGAAGAGAGCCCAGCTGCCCCAAGGGGCTCAGTGCTAGTGCCCGCAGGGGAAGGGTGACAGAGACTGCACCTGGAGACAGGGCATCAGCCCGGAATCCCAGAACGGCCTGGGTCGGAAGGGACCTCAAAGATCACCTCATTTCTACTCCCTGCCACTGGCAGGAACACCTTCCTCTAGACACTGGCAGTCTGTTGACTTCAGGATGAAGCCATCTGGGAAATTACCTTTTGTTAATCTGCAAGGAAAACACGCACAAAATGTTTCTGGCTGATAGCACCAAAGAGTTATACAAACTTCTACAACTCCTTTTTCTTTGCTTATCTCCCCGCACTAATTCTGTAACGGGTGAGATGCACGGAACCAAACGCAACATTTAAAAACGGAGCCAAAGAGCCAGAGCACTTCCCAGTTTGCCCGAGCGCAGCCAGGGGAACGCAATTCGCACATCTCCTGTTTTACACCCGCCCAGAAGCGAGCATCCCCTCCTTCTCAGGCCGCGCTCGGCTGTGCCTCCGTCCTGTGCCTTCCCAAAACCGCCGCCGGTCTCACCGGAATTCTCCCCTCACACGTGGCGTTCCCCCAGAGTTTAGTAAACAACAACACAGAGCTGAACAGCGCCCAGGCTGCCGCGCAGCCCCGGGACACCGACTCCTGCCGGGGCCGGCCCGCGGAGCTCCGCGAGAGGAACCGGCCGCGCTCACCGGCAGCTCCGCGGGCCGCCCCGGTACCTCGGGGCAGGGGCTGCCAGAGCGGCCCCCGCCGCACGAACCCCCCGCGCACCTTTGCGGAGCTCCCGGTGCCACACGGCGACGATGGGCCCCGCGTGCTTGCGGTGGTGGATGAGCCACAGCGAGAGCGTCTGCACGCTCTGCTGGGAGTTGCTTAGCTCCGACAGCTTCTTCTCCAGCGCCGACTCCGAGAAGGAGGACATGGGGCCGGGGCTGCTCCGCCCGCGGGGGGGGCGCGGCGCGGCCTCACCGACAACAACCCGCCGGGGCCGCCGCCACAAGATGGCCGCCCGCGCCCTGACCCCGCCGCGGGGCGAGGGGCGGCATCGTACGGAGCGCCGGAGGGAGCCGGGCCGCGCGGCGGGCGGGCTCAGCGCATGCGCAACCATCCTCAGCGCCTGCGCATTGCGCGCACTCGCGATTTTTCTCACAGCGCCTGCCCAGGCCCGCGGGAGCTTTGTGGCGCTCACAGCCCCGTTACTTTAGGGTCACGTCGCTGGCGCGTGCGCGTTGCGGACGCCCGAGACTTTTCTCACATTGCCCGCCTCAGCTCTCGGGAGCTTTGTGGTGCTGGTACCGCGGCGTCACTTCCGGCACCCTCAGGGCTGCCCGGCCTGGCCCCAGCGCGGCCCCGGCCCCGGGTGGGACCCCCCGGCACCGTGCAGGGCCCGCGGCCCCCGGTCCCCCGGCATGGCCGTGTTCGACACCCCGCAGGCGGCGTTCGGGGCGCTGCGCCCCGTCTGCGTGCAGCTGACGCGGGCGCAGACGGTGGAGAACGTGCGGCAGCTGCAGGCGCACCTGGCCGGGGTGAGCGGCGCGGCCCTGCAGGAGCTGCAGGAGTACGTGCTGTTCCCGCTGCGCTTCGCCCTGCGGCTGCCGGGGCCCAAGCAGGAGCGGCTGGTGCAGAGCCTGGTGCAGTGCATCTCCTCCGTGCTTGCGGCGACGTGCGTGAAGAAGCAGGAGCTGCTGCAGGAGCTCTTCTCTGAGCTCTGTACCTGCCTCGCTCCCCCTCCCAGCTCGGGCAAAGCCGCCCCGCTGTCCGAGGAGCTGAAGCTGGCTGTGATCCAGGCACTCCACACCCTGATGCATTCGGCTTATGGGGATGTTATCTTGTCTCTGTACCAACCTTCCACCCTTCCGCTCTTAGGATTTGCTGTGTCTTTGCTTCTGACACTTGCAGAGCAAGAAAAAGCAAAGCAAATCAAGATCTCTGCCTTGGAATGCTTGCAGGTCCTGGTTCTGCAGTGTGACTGCCAGGAGCACCGACACCTGGATGAAGACGAGGCGCAGCAATGTGGGGATTTGTTTGCTTCTTTTCTGCCCGGGATTTCTATTACACTGTCTCGGGTTATTGCTGGAGACATCAAACAAGGCCACAAAACCACCGTTTCTGCCATCAGACTCTTTTATCTGATTGTTGGCTTGGTCATGGCTGATGAACAGCTAGCCAGAATCCCAAAGAGTAAGGAAAAGCTGCTGGTGGAACATAGCAGGATATCAGAGCTAATGATCCACAGAGGACCTGACTGGACTAAAAGTACTGCTGAAAAACTCTCTCTTCTCTTGCATAAAGTGGTTGAATCTTCTTCAGTTCACCCCCACTGGAAGGTGAGGCTGGAGCTGGTGGAGCTGGTGCACCACTTACTGAGGAACTGCAGTCAGTCACTGGTGGACTCGTTCAGTCACCTCCTAAAGGCCTTGGTTGGGCTGGTTAACGATGAAAACAGCGAAGTCCAGAGCAGGTGCAACAAAGTTCTGCAAGGGATCGCAGAGCAGAGGATTGTGGCACAGAACAGGGCTCTTGCTGATGTCCTCTCTGAGAACCTCCATTCCCTTGCCACAGCTCTTCCCCGCCTGATGAACTCTCAGGATGACATGGGCAAGGTTTCCACCCTGAGCTTATTGCTTGGCTACCTGAAGCTGCTGGGCCCCAAGATTAACATTGTTCTCAACTCGGTGTCCCACCTGCAGCGCCTCTCCAAGGCGCTGGTGCAGGTTCTGGAGCTGGATGTGACGGATGTGAAGATTGTGGAGGCCCGGCGCTCTGGGCCACCGGGCCCCTTGCAGCAGGGTGTGCTCAAGGGCAGGTGCCAGAAGAAATATTTCCGCTTCTTCACGGAGGAGAAGGTTTTCCAGCTCCTTCAGCAAGTGTGTCGTGTTCTTGGCTACTACGGGAACCTCTACTTGCTTGTGGATCGCTTCATGGGGCTGTACAACGAGTCTGGCCTGTACAGAAAGCAGGCAGCCATGATCCTCAACGAGCTGGTCACGGGAGCTGCCGGAGTGGGAGTGGATTTCCTGCAGGAGAGGGAAGTTCCACTGAGCGTGGATGATCTCAAAGAGTCCATAACATCCATTCTGGATGAGTACATGGACCAGGCGAACTGGTATTTGGTCACTAGCATTGACACAGAGGAAAGCAGCCCTGAGCAGTCAGTGCAGCACCTGGGACTCGCTGTCCGTGCAGGAGGGGCATCCAGCAGCGTCCTCCGTCTGTCCCCAGAGCCCCCAGTCACTACCCGCACCATGAACAGCAACATCTGGCAGATCTGCATCCAGCTGGAGGGCGTTGGCTGCTTCGCCGCTGTCCTGGGGAAGGAGTTCCGGCTGCTGCTGCTGTCAGCTCTCTACCCTGTGCTGGAAAAGGCTGGTGACAGGACTCTGCTCATCAGTGAGACGGCACTGGGGACACTGGCAGACATATGTGAGGCCTGCGGTTACGACTCGGTGCGGTGTTTGATTAATGAGAACTCTGACTATCTGGTGAACGGGATTTCCCTGAATTTGCGCCAGCTGGCCTGTCAGCCCCGTGCGTCCCAGGTCCTGGACACAATGCTGAGGCATTCAGATGCCAGCTTGCTGCCACTGGTGGAAGATGTAATCCAAGATGTCCTGTCTGCACTAGATCAGACTTACAATAGCCAGGCTTCCACCTTCCTCAGGGTCCTCCACTCAGTCATGACCGCTCTAGGTACCAAAACCATGTTTGCTTGGTGTGATTCAGCCTTGCTGTCACTAAGGGTGCTTGTCTTGGACCTTTCCACTTGCCATGGGAGGTTCCAGGTGGCCCAGGTGTTGCAGTGTGATGGCCACTGTGCTTTGCCTGCTGGGGCAGTACTCAAGCACAGATCACCAGTAGCTTTCCCTCTCCAATTTGCCTGGCCTGCAGCCTTTCACAGGAACATGGCCTTCAGTGGCTGAGAAAGGATGGGTTCACTGCTCCCATTCTGTAGGAGCACGTGGCGTGTATTCCTTTTTAACTTTCCTGTACTATCAAGGAGGTGACAGGGATGTGACAGCAGGTGCCTGAGTCAGGTGCAATCCCGTGAGGTGTGAGAACCATCTCATCTCTCATGGAATCCATGGCACCTGCTGATGTGCATGAGGGGATCATGGTTGCCTAGTGACATGTCAGCTCCTTTTTTGCAGTGCAGTGGTTTGGAATGCCCAGCGCTGAGGAGCACCAGCAAAGGCAGACTGACAGGGGCCAGAGCAGGGCTCTGTCCCAGGGACAGCAGAAGGTGACAATGACAAGTCAAGAAGTGGAACAATTCTTCCTCGACTACGTCAGCCAAAAGCAGATTGCAGAGGGTGATCTTCCTGACCTGGAGGAGGAGGCAGGTCAGTGCTGTGTGTGGCTGGAGAGGAGCATGGTCAGCTTGCAGAGAGACTGTGACCTCTGAGGTGTCCTTTTGTCACATGGGGGCCTTGACAGTCTCAGGTCTTCTGTGGGCTGACCTTGCTTCATGTAAAGTGCTGTTGGGTGTTCTCACTTTGTTCTCTTTGAGTGGGAGAGCCAAATGTTTGCAGATCAAGGCTTCTCTAGCTCTGAGACACAAGCACACTGTGTTTTTTCTTACCTCATAACAGTTCATTTGGGTTCAGGACCTGAAGTTTCATCTTTCCAGGATCCTATGTGGTTTCCTCGTGTTCCCTTGGGAATCTCTGTGCTGTTTTCTCCTGGCTAATGATGCTACTGCTCCCTTCTCACTTGGCCGTGGCAGGCACTGCAGACATTCATATAGGGAACTTTTTAGTCTTCACTGGGCTGTGCTGCAATCCTGACCTTTAAATACTTCATCTTTAAATACCCAGGCTTTTCATTTTTAATAAAAATCAATGGGAAATAAGTCCATGGTGAGAAGAGACTGCAAATGTCAGACCAGCTGCATTGTCCCGTAAAGAAAGCGAACATTCCCTAGCCCTACACTCTTAACTGAGCCTGACACTAACTCACAGAACTCGTAGGCTTAACTATATCTAACACATTAAAAATTGCCAAAGGCCTTACTCAGGAATTTGCAGAGTCGTTGTGGGTGGGTGACCTGTGACTGTGATTTTCCAGAGCTCCCAAGTAATTTTCATGGCTTCAGTAATGGTTTTGTCTTCCAGGTGAGGTTCCCCTTGCTAAGCCAGAGCCCAGCTCTGACACAGAAGGAGAGGCTCCAATGCCAAGCCACGCTCAGCTGGCCAGGGATGTGATGGAGAGGTGCATCCACTTGCTGTCTGACGGGAGCCTCCGAGTGCGGCTGAAGGTCGGTAACGGCCGGCTCTGAGGGGACAGATGGTGCCCGTGAAGGGGCTGGTAGCTCATCAGCGTGTGTGCCATGCACGTTGGGCTCCCTGCCATCCCCAGGTTTGTGCTGCCATATGCTCCAGCAGGACAGATCCTCCAAACCTGGCAAGAGAAAGGGAGATAGTTTTTTGGGAGGGCACTGGATTAGGAATGGCAGCCAGGCAGAACAGAATCTTAAGGGTGGCTTCGTATTAGACACTTTCCCTTGATGCTCTTGACAGTTAAGTCTTGTGCTTTGTCCTTTGGTGGAGGAAACAGAAGCATCTTTCTCCCATCTGTGCCTCCCATCCCCCTTCCTCAGGCTGCAGTGCACAGGCTGATGAATGTTTTTGAAGTAGCTGGGGTGATGATAAGCAGGGCTAAAAGCCTGGCTTTTTTCTAATTATGAAAACCCTTTGAAGGTGGCCTCCTTTTAAAGTGCAAAGTGAGACAGAAAAATGAGGCATAACCCAGATTCTCATCCCGGCAGCCCCAGCTCTGCCAGGTGATCCTGCTGCCACAGCTGCAGTGGAGTCCAAGTGTGCAGCTCAGCCTGTGGGATCAGGGCAGGAATCCTGCCCTGCTCCCAGCCCAACTCTGTACCCAGCACAGGTTGTGTCACTGCAGTGCTTGTCCCTTTCCAAGCAGGCCTGATTCCTAGCACTGTTCGCTGTTCCTGCTGCGGTAAAACCGCTCCCTTTGCTGTTCAACCCCTCCTCCCAGCTTGCTGCCGTGCTGCTGGGATCCACCTGAATGCCTGGCACTGCAGCACTCAGAGTCTGTTCCCTTCCCTCCTGCCCAGGTCCTGGACGTGCTGGAGCTCTGTGTAACCATGCTGCATCCTCATGGAAACCATCTGCTTCCCATGGCTCACCGTGTCTGGCCAGCTCTCGTCACCCGGCTGATTAGCGACGACCCTCTGGCAGTGC